AGGGGGGCAGATAACAAACAAGCTCATGAATACCAACAATGCACTGACCTTATAGTAACACCAAACCCCAAACCCAAACTCACTGCCAACAGGCCAACTGGAACTGGTAAGGCTGTCAGGTCTCTGAGGCTGTAAATCTTTCTAGGAGGAGACTGTCATCCTTCCCCTGTTGAGTTCCTGGTCAATTAGAACTACTAACCTTTCAGTTAAGCCCAAAACGGAATAGACTATATCACCAGAGCTACTTATACTAAGCACAAAAGATCAAAACCGAGATAGGATGCATGTTCCCAAGATGCTCAAATGGAATACTTCTATTGGCTCACGCTATCATTAAAAATAAATAAATAAATTGATGTAATACACTAAGAACAAAGGACTAGAAGAAAAAGGACAAAGGAAAAAACCTCACAACATTTGTAACAGTAACAGAATAGAATGAAAGAAAAATCTGTATTTTATACAAACATTTTTTTAAAATGGATAAGCTTTATCACAAAAATATATTTCTCATCCTACACTTTACTGTGTGTTGTTGTCATGTACCGTCCAGTTGTTCGTGACTCATAGCAGCCCTACATACAACAGCCCTAAACCCTGCTCGACCTCTTACCAACCTGTGCTGATTTGAAATTCTGAATTTACAAATACTTTTTATAACTTGACATCATTTCATACTTACTGAATAGCTTCAAGACAGTACAACATATTCCCATCCTTTTCTTATTCACCAATATGTTAACATTTTGTCCCCATTTGTTCAGTTTCTTTGAGAGTTTGAGTTTGAGTATGAGTGTGTGCTGTGTCTGGAAAGAGGCATATAATTACACATCATTTCTTCTGAATCATGTAAGGATAAACTGCTAACACCATGCTCCTTTATCTCTACATTCTTGATGTGTACTTTCCCGAGAACAAATCCAATCTCTTACACAACTATCGTGTAACTATGAAAACAAGTTGACATTGATGCACCTATTACATATTATCTACTCAAAGTCCATATTCAAGTATCAGTAATTATATTTATATGCATCTGAAAGTTAGACAATGAATAAGGATGACAGAAGAATAGATGCCTTTGAGTGGTGGTACTAGAAAAAAAAGTAATAATTATCCCATGGTCTACCAAAAGAACAATCTATATCTTGCAGGAAGTGCAATGATAGTGAAACTTCATTTCTCCTATTTTGGTTATGTTGTCAGGAGGGGGTGGTCCTTGGAAAAGGACATCATGCCGGGGAAAAATGGAAGGTCAGACAAAGAGAAAAAAAAAAACCTGACAATGGGCATCAACATATCAGGGACCTAAAAAAAAAAACACAAAAAACAAAAAAAACAACAAAACATATCAGGGACCTTGAGGATGGGGCAGGATAGAGCAAGGTTCAAATCTGTTGTTGCTAGGGTTGCTATGGGTAGTAGCTGATTAAATGGCACCTAACAACAACCACCTTTTTAGAAATTTATTTTCTTGCCCCAGGTTTTAATCTGAGATGCCAAACTGCATTTAGCTATCAGATTCTTTCATTCTTTTTTAATCTTGAACAGTTGATTTTGTCTTCTATGACCTTGATTTTTTTGAAGAGAACAGATATTTTGTCATTTGAGTTTGCTGTTTCTTAAAGATTTAGGGTATGAATTTTAGCAAGGCCCAGGACAGAGGAATATTGTTTCCTTTTAAGAAGTGGTATGTAATATTCTGTCTTATTATTTGTTAACATACACTCTGATCAACTGATAATTCAGTAAAGCTATGATAGGTACAAACACACAGAGATTGTTTTTTAAATCATTTTTTCTACATTACTTGGCATTCTAATGTAAAAATGAACCTCATTTATTTAATTCACTTGGTTATTATCAATTGACTTGGGCACCTCAATCTATAGTTTGTTTTGATTTTTTGTTATTGTTATTATGATTTAATGGAAGTTCACAGAAAAGATGGATTTTGATTCATTCATTGTTGAACATTTTCCTCTCTCCCCTCCCAATTCACTTTAAAAAAAAATTCTTCCATTGTTGCATCAGTCTATAGTTTTAATTTGCATGATTCTTATTTAGTCAAGCATCTCCATATGTTTTGTGAATAATTCCTTTTGTCAATAATTCACTCAAGGGATTTTCCACTGTTGTGGTTATTAATTTTTTAAGTCAAGACTTTGCTGTCTCCATTTCCCACCACCCCACCCCATGACCAAATGTAGCCATTTTCAGGGACCTTAATCATCCTTAAGGCTCATAACATGGTTTTAATATTGCCAGCTTTAAAAAGATTTCTGCAGAAATACATACAGGTAAGCAGTCTATAGCTGGTTTCCTATCTCCTCAATTTTTAAAAGTTCTTCAAATACAAAGGTCTTGAATGCACTTCTGAGATACCTGGGAATAAGGACTGAATAAGTTGGGGGGAAGATGAGAACATTCATCAAGAACAGTGATGATCATGAAGAAATGCTCAAAATCCCTAGCCCTAAGAGAGATGCAAATTAAAACAACTATGAGATATCATCTCACCCCAGTCAAAATAGCAAAATTTAACAGAACAGCAAGCAACAAATGCTGGCGAGGTTGTGGAGAAACTGGAACCCTGATTCACTGTTGGTGGGAGTGTAAAATGGTGCAACCCCTGTGGAAAGCAGTATGGTGCTTTCTCAAAAAGTTGCAAATAGAGATACCATTTGACCCAGCAATTCCACTACTGAGAATATACCCTGAAGAGACCATAGCTGACATCCAAGCAGATATATGCACTCCCATGTTTATTGCAGCTTTGTTCACAATAGCAAGGAGTTGGAAACAACCTAAGTGCCCATCAACAAACGAATGGCTAGAGAAGCTGTGGTATATTCGCACAATGGAATACTATGCTGCATTAAAAAACAAGGAACTCATGCAATATTATTCAAAATGGTTGACTCTGGAGAACATTATGCTGAGTGAAATATCCCAGTCACAAAAGGACAAATATTACATGATGCCACTGTTGTAGAAAGGGACTAACCTCAGGGTTGGGGAGACACTGAGTAAGATGTGTTCAATAATGTATACTGCACTGAAACAGAGGAGGGAGAAAACTGTGTAAAAGAGATATATAACTAGGTATTTCTGTCATCACAGGAGTCTAGAGCGAGGGCTACACGGTGGAGGGGACCTGGGGGAGGGTTTGTAAAACAATGAAAGAATATTTTCTTTTACTTTTCCATAATTTTTGACTCATGTACTTATAACTTGTTAGTTAAATTTGTGTCTTCTAGGTTGCAACCCCCCCATGATACATCTTCAGGGATATGAACATGTACGGCTAAGCACAATTAATAACAGTGCATCTAAATTCCAAAATCAATCTCCATAATAGTCTATGTGTTTCCTACTGCCAAAGGGGCCCTTTAGAGTAGTGAGAGAAGATCTTCACCCTGAAACCCACAGCGTCCCTTTTCAGCAGGAAGTAGCTAAGAGAATACGCCATCCCCTTTTCCTTATGACTCAGGGTGAAGTCTCTCTCAGGGAGGAGTGATAGGGAATGGCAAAGGACACACCGACAAAGGAGATTAATCAGAACTGACTTTGACAAGCACTGTGGCAATTGGACAATTAAAACAGGCATTCGGATGGTGGGGAAGAACAAACTGGGGAGGAGGGTAGAGAAAATGGTGCAGTAATGAAGGAATGAAAACCCAAAATCCCTGTAAATGTTCATTAAAACGAATAAAATTTAATAAAATAAAAAAACAACAGTGATGATACTCAGAAGTGTTCTCACCTTTATATTGCCCTTTCTAGGAAAATTGCACAATTTTCTCCTGCATAGCAGCTAGTGGGTCGAACCATTTACATTTCAATTAGTCTGTTACATACTACTACCACACTAGGACTCCTTAAAGAAGTAAACAAGAGCTAAGAATGTTCTTCTTTAAAATAGAGAGTCGTCTTTTTTTATCATTAATTTCTGGATTCTGTATTCGCAGTTCTGATTCTTACTCTGGTGGCCTAGTGTCAAGAAGCTGCGCCGCAACCTCGAAGGCAAGCAGTTTGAGGCCACAGCTGTTCTACAGAAGGATGGGCAATCTCCTCCCTTGCGATTAAGTGCCTCTGAAAACCCGCAGGAGGTTCAGCAATAGGTACATTCCGACTCTGATACACAATAACAACACAACAGTGTTGAATGACACATCAAAACAAAACTAAAAATTCCCAGGTTAGAACTGGCACTCGGATAACTAGAATCGAAAAGCAGGGGACACTTCTCAGGAAATGTCTACTTTTCCTATCAGTTCAATGGTGTTTAGAAAATCCAAATGCAGTAACTTGCAGTAGACCGCCAAACGTCGTTTCTATAGGCACCCGCAGTTCTTTTAAGTAGTAAAGCGGTTGGACAAAAATGCCTCTTGCACCCAACTCACGATCCTGCTCCCCAAAACCTGAAGCTGTTCTTTTCCTTTTTCTGGAAGATTTAATAAATTTACTAGATGCCCGGAATCGCCTAAGCACCTCCACCCTGTCCCTTGGACGAGCCCACTTTGACGCTGGTCGCCTCCGCCCCGAGTGGCGGGTACTGGTTTCCCGCGAGTTCAGCCTCGCACGAGGGCCTCACCTGCGGGTAGAGCTGCTGCAAGAACTGCTCCCGGGAAACGCCCTCGAGCCGGGGCACAGGGAAGCACGTCTCCGCCATGGTTCCTCCACCCCCCACTCTCTTCTCGGCTTCGGAATTTCAACCCCAGGACGTTCCTACACCTCCTGATCCGGCCGGAAACAAGACCTTGCTAGAAAAGGTCCGTCAGTCGATGGGAAAGAGTGGCTGCTCCGGAGCGTGTGACGAGGCTCAGAAAAGTCTCTATTATGCGGGAGATTAGGGTGCTTACTGGTGTTGGCAAAATAAGTCCAGTTTACGCTTCAGCGCCGCTCTCCCACGTCCCCCCACGACGACGCTAAGATGGTTTCCCGCCGACGTCCTTTCGCTAAAGCAATCACAAGTGGAGGGGTGAAAGGTCATGAAAATGGCGGTGGCCGCTCGCTTGCTTCCCCGCTTGCTGTTCTCTCGGTGGCTGCCATGCGGGGTAGCCCGACTGCGGACGCCTGGTGCAGCCGAGGTGAAGCTGCCGTTGACTGGACTCTGCTGTGTGTGCCGCCGCCGCTTCGGCTCGGGAGCAGCCTCATTTCCTCGCCGAGTTGCGGCCTCAGCGCTCCCTGTTCGGAGCCCGCGGTGCGCTCTACTCAGCTCTCCAGGATGCCTCGCAGCTTTTACCTCTTTCCCTGCCGGCCCCGGGCGCCGCTACAGCACGGACCAGCAGCCCCAGCCGCGCCAGAAAACCAAGATGATCATCCTGGGTGTTTCCAACCCAATTAACTGGCTTCGGACTCGAATTTACGCCTTCCTTATCTGGGCCTATTTCGACCAAGAGTTCAACATCGCAGAGTTCACTGAGGGGGCGAAGCAGGTTTGTTTTCCCTGATTGAACACCCTTCTTGCTTCCATTCAACTATTATTGTACAGGGAAGTATTATTGAGCTCTGCTAGCCCAGTGGCAAGAAGCTGCGCTGTAATCCCAAAGGCAGACGGTTCAAATCTACCAGCTGCTCCATGGGAGGATGCGCAGTTTCCTCCCATGTGTGATTAACTGCCTCTGATAACTCTGTGGTCGACTCTTTGTGTCGGTTCGCATTCGATGTTACACAACAACACTAAGGTTTCCACATTGGGTCCCAAGTTTAGGAAATGTGGTTATTGTCTTGGACACAGAGCTCTCCGGCTATTTCTTGACCTGAAACGCCTTCTGGGTGGATTTGCATAGCTTTGAGCGACCTGGGTGATCTGTTCTTTCACTCTCTTATGAAAGAGACTTGGGGAGTGGACAGAGCCCATAGTGCAGTGGATAGCACAGGTTTTGAATCAAACAGAAATAAATGCATCCGAAAATCCATGCCACTTAAAAGCTATTATGGCCTTATTTTTCTTAGCACTACTTTCCAAATCTACAAAATGACAGTCACTTCAACATGGATTAATGCCTACCACGAAGTAGGAATTCAGTGTTGTTGAATAAATGATTTAGTGGATTCAGTTACGAGGGAGAGTCTTAGGTAAGGAGTTGCACTTCCCCTGCCATGCATTTACATTTACATTCTCCGAGATAAGGTATGAGTCCGTTCAACTCTGTGGTACATAATAACACAAACTTTCACACAAAGGCAAAAGCACCTGCTAGCTGTTTGGTAAATTCTTCCCCCTCCTCTATCACACTCCTTCAAGAATAACCTGGAAATAATAATTTTTCTTCTTTTCAAGAACTTTCTAGAACAGCCTGGTGGGTGATAAATGTATTACAGTACTGTGCATGCTGGGAAAGGCGTAGCCCTTAGTGGGGCATAGTAGTGACCTGAGCAGTTAGCTCTTGATGTTAGCCAGTAACACTTTGTCTTACCCTTGCCACTTACTCGTTACTTACTGAAATTATTTTCAAGATTTGTCCTTTTTTAAAGATGTGCATTTTTCTAGCATAAAGATCAAGCTTTATTTGGAATCTCTTAGAATGTAGGTCATTAACAAACATTTCTCAACTTTAGGTAAGCATTCCCTACTGCTGTCCAGTTGGCTCAGAAGCCATAAAGACTTCCCAAACTGTAAATCTCAAGCCTTTGCACCTGAAAGCTGGATGGCGAATAAGGATAACATAGAAGAATCAATGCCTTTGAATTGTGTTGGAGAAGAGTAGTGAATATCTCATGGACTGGCAAAAAACCAAATAGGCATATCTTGCAAAAGGTGCAGCCAGAGTGCTCCTTGAAGGCAAAGATGGCGGTTTTTTCTCATGTACTTTGGGCATGTTGCTAAGGGAGACTATTCCTTGGAAAGGGATATCATGCTTGGAAAGGTGCCCCATGTGGATGGCTGGAATATATGAATAGGATATGTTAGCCTTTCTCCAAGGAGATTGACTGGTCTCACAAGTCTACAAGGGGATTGACTAGTATCACCATTAAGTTGAGTGGATTCAGTAGCAGAGTAGAACCTCAACACCAGAAAAGAGCAAGCAAAAGAATACTTTTCAGGACCAGACACTCTTGCATCAGACAGGCTGAGACCTAAAAGAGCAACAGTGATAACAGCCACAATGGAGAAATGGAGACCTGACATGAGATGGAGCAGACTTGGGATTGCTGCGCCATTGGACCAGAGCCAAGAGCCTTTTGCTCAAGTTTGTTTGAGGACTATGGGGGGAGGGGAGAGCCAAGATTGGTGTGACTGAGAACTTTGTAACATGCCTGACCTCATGAGAATTGGTTTTATGTTTTTCATGGTATTGTTAGGGACAGTTCCCCTTTGTGAAGTTGGTAAAGGTCAGATATGGCTGTCCCACATGACCCTTGCTTTTGTTACAAAACCTCATACTCCAAGGTTGAGATCTGTTATTTTTAGATTATTAGAAACTATCTTTTTCCCCCTTCTCCCAAACTTGCCTTCTCTAAGTATGAAGGGCAGGCTCATACTGATTCCCAGCTGCAATCTCTGTACAGTGAAGATGGATGTTATATTACAGAGTCCTAAAAATTGTTTCCTTTGTCTTAGTTCTAAGGAACCATCTAGGAGGACATTTATTGAGGCAATTGTATATAGGGGCTCTGGTGGCTTAGGGGTATGGAATTGTGTTGCCAACCTAAGGGCATGCAGTTCAAAACCACTAGCTGTTCCTTTGGAGAAAGATGGGCAGTCTCCTCCTGTTTGATTTACTAGCTCTGAAAACCTGCTCAAGGTTCAGCTGGGAGTCATTATGTAACAACAGCATTGGTAGGTACATCACACACCATTATTTCTCAGGTTCAGAGTAGATACCTAATTAATAATTTGCTTAGGTACTATGTCCAAGTATAGGTTTCGCATTAGCACGATTAAATGTTCTGGGATTCCCATTCTTTTCAGAGTCAGCCACAGTTTGTTATGATCCACGCAGTCAAATGCCTTTGCATAATCAATGACAGATAGACATTCTTCTGGTATTCTCTGCTTTCAGCTAAGATCCATCTAACATCGGCTACAATATCCCTAGTACCACGACCCCTTCTAAACTCAGCCTGGACTTCTGGCAGTTCTCTGCTGATGTACTGTTCCAGTCATTTTTGAATAATCTTCAGTAGAATCTTGCTTGCATGTGAAATCAATGCTATTATTCTGTAGTTTCCACACTCAGTTGGGTCACACTTCTTTGGGATGGGAACAAAGATAGACCTCTTCCAGTCAGTTGGCCAAGTGGTTGTTCTCCAGATTTCTTGGCAGAGCTTGGTGAGCACATCCAGGGCAGCATCTGTTAGCTGAAATATGTCAATTGGTATACCATCTATTCCGGGGACCTTATTTTTTGCTATTTCCTTCAAAGCAGCTTGAACTTCTGCCTTCATCACCAAGAGGCAGTCGTCAGAACAGAGCAGGGCAACACTGAATGGTTCAAAATTGGGAAGGGTGTGCGCCAGGGATGTGTCCTATCTCCATACCTTTTCAACCTGTATGCAGAGCAGATTATCCAAGAGGCTGGGCTCTATGAGGAAACGCGTGGCGTTAGGATTGGTGGAAGATCTATCAACAATCTGCATTATGCAGATGACACAACCTTGCTCGCTGAAACTGAGGAGGACCTCATGCACTTACTGCATAGGGTCAAGGACTGCAGCCTTCAGTATGGACTGAGGCTCAATGTCAAGAAGACAAAGATTCTCACCACTGGACCAATTGGTAGTGTCACGATAGATGGCGAAGAGATGGAGATTGTTCACAGCTTCAGTTTGCTCGGCTCCACGGTCAACACTCTTGGCACCAGCAGCCAGGAAATCAAAAAACGTATTGCAATTGGAAAGTCTGCTGTTAGGGATCTCTCTAAAGTACTCAAGAGCAACGGTGTCTCTCTGGAGACGAAGGTGCGCCTGATACAGGCCATGGTCTTTGCAATCACTTGTTATGCATCAGAGAGCTGGACAATGACGAGGACAGAAGGAGAATTGACGCCTTTGAGCTGTGGTGCTGGAGAAGAGTATTGAATGTACCATGGACTACCAAGAAAACAAACAGATTCATCCTGGAGAGGGTTAAACCAGGCTACTCCTTGGAGGCAGAGATTCTGGGGCTTCGTCTGACATACTTTGGACATGTTGTAAGGAGAGACAGGTCTTTGGAGAGGGACATCATGCTGGGTAGAGTAGGGGGACAGCGCAGGAGGGGAAGACCCTCTATGAGGTGGATTGATTCAGTGACTGGGGTAATCGGGATGGGTGTGTCAGAGGCAATGCGATTGGCACAGGATAGAGCAGGGTTTAGGGCTAGGGTCGCTATGAGTCGCAAACGACTTGACAGCACATAACAACAACTACTATGTATGTGGGAAGGGAGCTCCAGAGGCTTAGTTGTAAGGAGCTTGCTGCCGAAGTATCACCAGCTGCTTCGAGGAGAAAAATGGGCACTCTCCTCCTTTGTTATTTGCTGCCTCTGAAAACCCACTGAAGGTCAGCTGATCTAATGGCACATAACACAGCATATATGTCAAAAAGTCATATATGAAAAGAACGCTCAAGCAACTCTGAAAAAGTCATATTTGACATTGACGTGATAGTATTTGATGTTTCTCATAAAAGCTTTTTTTATACTTTAACTCAGTTATTTTTAAAGAACTGAAATGACACATTCAAGCCTCAAGTTGCAATACTGAGAGATGCTATGGGCAAAATCGTGAATGATCCAGGAAATATCAAAAAAAGATAGAAGGACTACATAGAGTCACAGTACCCAAAAGTATTGATTGACATGGAACCGTTTCAGGAAGTAGCATCTGATCAAGGATCTGCGGTAATGAAGGAAGATGTTCAGGCTGCACTGAAGGCACTCACAACAAATAAGGTGCCAGGAATTGATGGGATGTTAGTTGACATGTTTTCACCTGACACACCAGTCTGTACCAAAAAATTTGGAAGATAGCAACCTGGCCAACTGACTGAAAGAGCTCAGTATTTGTTACCATTTCCCAGAATACTGATTCAATATAATGTGGAAATTATTGAAAAGTATCACTGATGTCACATGCAGATAAAATTTTGGTGAGGATTATCCAAAAACTATGACAGAAAATTGCCAGAAATTCATCCCGGATTTAGAAGAGGCCATGGCAGCAGGGATATTATTGCTGAGGTCAAATAGATCTTAACAAAAAGCAAATAATACCATAAGGATGTTTATTTGTATTTTATTGACTATGCAAAGGCATTTGACTCTCTGGATCAGAACAAATTATGGCTGACGTTGAGAAGAGTGGGAATCCCAGAACACTTAATGGTACTCATGTGAAATCTATGCCTAGACCAAGAAGCTGTTCAAACAGCAAGGGAACACTGCATGGTTTAAAATCAAGAAAGTTATGTCTCAGGGCTGTATCCTCCTCCATACATATTCAGTCTGTATGCTGAGCAAATCATTTGGGAAGACGGACTTTATGAGGAAGAGTGTGTGGCCTCAGGATTGGAGAAAGACTCATTAGTAACATTGAGTATGCAGATGACAGCCTTGCTTGCTGAAAGTGAGGAGGACTTGAGATGCTTACCTCTGAAGATCAAAGATTACTGCCTTCCATGATACTTTGCAACATTCAGAAAACAAAAGTCCTGATCACTAGACTGATAGGTAGCATCAGGGTAGATGGAGAGAAGATTGAAGTTGTCAATGATTGCTTCTTGCTTGAATCTACATTAAACATCTTGGTACCAGCAGCCAGAAAATCAGAAGACTTGCTGTGTAGGTTCTCTCTAATGTGCTAAAGGAGCAAAGATGTCAGTTTAAAAACTAACATGCACTGGGTTCAGGCCATGGTCTTTTCATTTACTTGCTAGGCATCTGAAAGTTGGACAGTGACTAATGATGATAGAAGAACTGATGCATTTGTGTTGTGTTGGACAAGAGAACTCTATATCCCATGGACTGCCAAGAAGATGAACATGTCTTGGAGGAACTTCAACCAGAGTGCTCCTTAAAGACAGTGATGGTGAAACTTAACTCACACACTCTGGGCAGGTAGTTAGGAGGTGCCAGTCCTTAGAAAAGGAGGGACATCATGCTTGGAAAGGGAGAGTCAGTGAAAGAGAGGAAGAGCCTCAGAAAGATGGATCTACACAGTGAACATAACAATGAGCTTGAGTAGATCAGAGATGATGAAGATGGCGCAGGATAGAGCAAGATTCAAATCCATTGCTATGGGGTTGCTATGAGTTGTAAATGATTTGATAACATCCACCACCAACAACAGCCATTAATGAGGACGTTATCTATTATATGGTATTTTGTGTGATATTTTAAAATAATAATCATCCTTCTCCTTATAATTTTTTAAAAGGCTTTTGCTCATGTATCGAAATTGCTGTCCCAGTGTAAATTTGATCTTTTGGAAGAACTTGTGGCCAAAGAGGTACAGTATACTTTTAATTTTTCTGTAAAAGCAGTACTATTCTGTTGCAATAGACTGATATATGTTATCTTTATCTGTGTTTGACAATAATTTGTATGACTCTTAGTGAACTAGTGTCCTTGTATTTGTCCTTATGGGTTCTTTAGGTCATGTGAAAGCATGAAGTGACTCCTGCCATTTAAGATAAAAATAAATACAATGTCTTTGATTTGCTCTTACAAAGTTATTGGAATAATATGCTTGAATAATTAGATGCTTTATGCCCTTGCTTTTGAAGAATATTTGTTAGCATTGCATTTGAAAATGAGTAAGTGTGATAGTAAATTTTAAAATGATGTAGGAAAATTCATCCTGTGATAAAATCCACTCTTACAAAAGGTAAAAAAAAAAAAATTGAGCTGATGAACTAATAATGATTAGCTTTTTCTAAACTTAGGTGCTGCAGGTATTGAAAGAAAAGGTTACTTCACTGCCTGACAACCATAAAGATGCACTTTCTGCTGACATAGATGAAATTGTATATACATCAACAGGAGACATCTCCATATACTATGATGAGAAAGGTAAAGCCTGTCAACTTGAAATGATTCACAGTTGTATTTGTAGCATAAACTAGCCTAGTGGCTAATCATGAGTTACTGGGATTCTCTGTAAATAAATTTCAGGGAAAGTAATCCATACTTTAAAGTTCTGATCCTTAAAGAATTGAAATATGCTGATAGTTCCATACACGTTCCTTTCGAGAGCTTTTTTTTGCTGCAGCTCCATTTAGGTTGAAGGAGATCATCTTCCCAGGGCAAGCTGTTCTAGTCTCTCAAACCAAAAATGTTTGCGTTTCAGATGTCCTCATTTGAAGCAAACAACTGAGCATTTTCAGTGTCCAGCTGCCATTGTAGGTAGAGAAGGATTAAGGAGGAAAGAATATGAAAATAAGTACCAGCTAAAAACTGAGTTGAGAGTAAGACCAACTGCAGAATTCCAATTTGGATTTATTTAAGGATAATGAAAAAAGTTGGAACTTTAGTGAGCATGTGGTTCTTCCCTTTCTCCAGTGCATGAATTTCCCTTAGAGCATCACTGAAAACTTAATGAGTTACTTATTTCCTCTATAAATACAGTAAAACTTGCTAAAAACAGAACTTGTGCTTGTGTAAGGCAGAACTCTTAGAGAAGAAAACTCAGATATTTTCCAATGATAGTGACTTTAAAAGGTGATAGTTGCACCCTGCCAAAGACAGAAAGCTTGCAAGGCCAGGAAAAACCACACAAGGTGACCTCATGGAGTTCTTCCGCCTGTACAGTGCTTGCTTGTCTTCAGGAAACCCAGCCTCTCTCCACAAAGGGCTCTAGGCTTTTCTTACATAGGACTCTGATTTGTTAGAAAACTTACTCATAAATTTGTAACATTTGTAAAGATACTTTCAATACTATTTTGTTCCCCTTTAATGTTTCAAATTGTATATAATTAATTACTGATTATAGCAAAGTGAATTAGAGTAGAAGCCTTCCCCCCCTTTCTCTCAGTTGAGATTAAGTTACCTAGCAGCAAAGAAAGTGAGTTCAGCTTTCTCTCATTTTTAGTTTGACAGCAGATACCCTACAAGATTATTACCATTTTAGAAGGTGCTGCCAATGGAAAGTAATCCATACAAGCCACATAGTAAATAAATGGCAGCTGGCTGTTACTTTTGAGATTCAAGGGGAACCCCAAGTCATAAATTGTTAATTTTCTGAAGGCAAAGTTACAGCAATACAAATATCTTTAATTAGACTAGACTGAGCATAAAATGTAATCTTTATTAAATATGTAGCTGCTTCCACTTTCTAATTTAATTTTGGATATGTGGATGAGGGAATAGCGTGATTTGTATTTGTGTTTTTTCTCTAAGGAAGGAAGTTTGTTAACATCCTGATGTGCTTTTGGTATCTAACCAGTGCCAACATCCCCAGTGAGACTATAAGTGGAGCTAGTGTGTTCCAGATTAAGTTGGGCAATCAGAATGTGGTGACAAAACAACTTCTTAGTGCAAGCTATGAGTAAGTCCATCTGTATTTCATTGTTTTCCTTCTTCTAAATAGTGCAAGGTAATGTGAAGATAAGAAAATTTAAACAGATTGATTAAAAGGAAAGCATTGATGTTTGATAACTTATTTATAGGGAAAAGATTGTAAAGGAACACTAACCGTGAAACAGATGTGTTCTGAAGTTAGACAGACTTTTTCTGAATTTAGTTAAATGGTGCTTCACCTGTTTATTGCTATTGAACAGATCACCCTGAAACTTAGTAGCTTAAATGACAATTTGTATTGCTTGCAATTTCACGGCTCAGGAATTTTGGAAAGGCCATCCTAAGAGTTTGTCTCTGTGTTTCCTGGCATAAGCTGTGGAGACCAGAGCTGAGAATTCATTTCCACAGTGGGTTTTTCATTTGAATGCCTGGTGCTTGGTCCTTACAGGATTCTCTCCACTTGAGGTCTCAGTCTCTGGGTCCTCTCCTCAGGTGGCTCATAATTTCTATATAGTGACTGGCTTCTAACAGGCAGAAAGAAAACTTCTGGACCATTAAAGAACCACACCTAAGTTTGTATCAATTCTGCCATAGTCAACTGGTCAGAGCACTTGCAAGGCTTAAATGGTCATTTGTACTGCTTGCAGTTTCATGGCTTTGTCTCAAGAGGTGGCGAGACTGGCCTTCTTTATGAGGGAGTGGCGAGGTCATGTTGTAGAATAGCCTGTGGGATGGAAAATTTTAGAAAAGACAACTACCCCTCACCTACTCATAACCATCCAGTAGGAACTGACTCATTGCTGACTGTCATTGGGTTTTCTGAGGCTGCAAATTGCTCATCTTTCTCCTGAGGAGCCGCTGGTTGAGTCAAATCTTACTAGATGCAAGGCCTTTGTGTTAGCAGGAGTCTTTCATAAATGAAAACTGGACCATTCGTTCAGCAGACATTTCTTGATTGTTTACTGTATTTTATGTATGTGTGTTGTTGTTATTGTTGTGTACTGTCAAGTCAGAACCGACCCATAGCTGACCCTCCAGCTAGTCAGAGGTAGTTGGTTAATTGGATGGGAGGAAATAGCCATCTTTCCTGCAGAGCAGCTGGTGGATTTGAACCGAATACCTTTGGGTTGCCAATGTGTCTCCTTACCATTAGGCTACCAGAGCTCCCCTTAAGTACTAAGTAGGGATTCCAGTACAAAATTGAAGGGTTCCTGCCCAGGAGGAGCTACTGTTTAGTAGCACCATGTCTGTCAGTGTCGTACGATGGTGGCTATTGCATAATGCTGGTTGCTATGCCACTGGTATTTCACATTCCAGTAGGATCCCCTACAGTGGCTAGGTTCCGGGTTCCAGGCTGAGGTAGATGAACTATTTTATCACACTGAGGAGCCCCATTGGGACATTGGTTAAGGGCTTAGCTGTTAACTAAATGCTTGGCAGTTTGAACCCACCAGTAGGAGAGAAGACCTGATTTGCCCCTGTAAAGGTTATTGCTGATTTTAGATGTCCTTATTGTTTTCTCACTTGTAATCTTTATGGCGGCAGATTGTCAGGTCCTTTTCTCTCAGAGTTGCTGATTCGTCAGACTGCCATCTTTGCTGTTTGCAGCCAAGTGCTTAACCATTGACACTGACCAGCAGGACTCTTTCCTAGGAAAGCCTTTGGGAGCGTCCTGCTCTATCGGATAGGGTATTGTGAGTTGGAATCCATGTAGCAACACAATAACATACGTTCTTGTCATTGTTAGGTGCCATCGAGTCGAGTTCGACCCATAGCAATCCTATGAACAACAGACCTGAGCCGTGTCCTATCCGGATCCGGTGCTGTCCTTCCACATTCTGACACATTAGAGTCCCTTGCTGCAGTCACCATGTCACTCCACCTGGTTAAGGGTATTCCCCTGCTTTGCCAACCCTCTATCTTTCCGAGTATCATGTCCTTCTCCAAGGAAAAGCCACTCCTAACAACATGCCCAAAGTATGTGAAGCAAAGCCTCACCATCTTTGCCTCCAAAGAACGCTCTGGTTGCTCCTTCTGCGAGACATGATTGTTTGGCCGTCCATGGGATGTTCAGTGCCTTCTCTAACCTAATAGCTCAAAGGCATCATATTCATTGTCCAGCTCTGAGATTTTTAGCAAATGATTGGAAAGACTATGGCCTGAATCAGATGCCACTTAGTCCTTAAACTGACATCATTACTTCTCAAAAATTTGAAGGGGTCTCTAACTGCATACTTTCCCAGTACGATACATCTCCTTTTTTTTCTGACTGCTGGTACCAAAGGTGTTAATTGTGGATCCAGGTAAGTTGAAGTTGTCGACACCTACAATCTTTTCTCCATCTATTTCCATCTATTTATGATGCTGCCTGTCAGTCCAGTAGTAAGAATCTTTGTTTTCTTGACATTGAAATGCAATCCATATTGAAGGCTGCATTCTTTGATCTGCACTAGTGCTTCAAATTCTCCTCACTTTGAGCAAATAAGGTTGTGTCATAACACTGGTTATTGATAAGTCTCCCTTCAATACTGATGCCACATTTCTGTTCATAGAGTCCAGCTCCTTGAATAATTTGCTCACCATACAGAATGAATAGGCATGAAGAGAGAATATAACCTTGATGCACTTCTTAATTTTAAACCATTTAGTGTGCCTTTGCTGTGTTTGCACAACTGTCTCCTGGTCTAGGTGTAGGTTTTGCATGAGCCCAATTAAGTGTTCTGGATTCCCATTCTTCTCAATGTCAGCCATAAATTGTTATGATCCACACAGTCAAGTGCCTCTGCATAGTCAATAAGGCACAAATGGACATTCTTCTGGTATTCTTTGCTTTCACCCAGGATCCATCTGACATCAGTGGTGATAACCGTGGTGCCATGGCCTCTTCTAAATCCTGCTTGAACTTCTAGCAGTTCCCTGTGTATTGTTCTATTTCTGAATGATCTGCAGCAATATTTTGCTTGCATGTGATATTAATGATACCGTTCGATATTTTTCACATTCTGTTGGATCACCTTTCTTGGGAATGGGAACAAATATGGACCTCTTCCAATCCATTGGCCTGTAACTGTCCTCCAAATTTCCTGGTGTAAACGGGTGAACACATCCAAGACTGCATCTGTTAATTGAAACAAGTCATTTTGTGTTTTTTGCCAATACCTTCAATGCAGCTTCCACTTTTTTCTTCATTACCATTGGCTCCTGTTCGGATGGTACTTTCTGAAATTTTTCATTGTCAGTCAGTTCTTTTTGGTACAGTGATTCTGTATTCCCTCCATCTTTTTTATGCTTTCTGGGTCATTCAGTATATTTCCCATAACATATTTCAGTATTGCGACTCAAGGCTTAAATTTGTATTTCAGTTCTCTCAGCATGAGAAATGCAGAGCGAATTTTTCTCTTTAGTCTCCAGTTCCAGCTCTCTGTAAATTCCATTATAATATTCACTTTATCTTCTCGAGCTGCGCTTTGAAAACTATTGAAGACCATATAGTTAATACTAAATTTTGTTTCGTCTAATGTTCTTTGCTAAGAGCATGGGAAGTAATGAACAGCAAACATTTTGTGAGTGAGAAAGTGCAAGTACTACAAGTACTAGAAATAGCTAATTTGAAGGATTGTGATTTTTAAATGTTTTTTACTCTCTTAACTAATTTTTATTTACCTAAGAATGTATAAATGCTGCTATTTTCATTGCTGCTTTAAAATATAGACAGAAAATTTTAGGGAGCTCTGATAGCCCAGTGCTAAGAAGCTGTGTTGAAATCCCAAGGCATGCAGTTTGAATCCACCAGCTGCTCTGCAGGAGAAGGAAATAAATATGCCTGTAAATCTTTTCCTGTGATTTACTGTTCATTCCAGATCGACAGTACACAACAAAATAGCATACTATGTGTTCTATTTGTAGAATTTGTAGCTCTTGACTGGACAAAGCAAAGGAAAACTGTATGGTTTTTAAATTAGGGAAGGTATACATCAGGGTTGTATTTTTTTTCTATTATTCAATTTGTATGCTGAACAAATAATTTGAGAAGCTAAACTTTATGAAGAAGAATGTGACATCAGAATTGGAGGAATATTCATCAATAACAGGTGTTACAACACAGCTGTGCTTGCTCTAAGTGGGGAGAACTTGAAGTGCTTGCTGCAGAGGATTCAAATAGAGCCTTCAATATGGATTGCGTCTGAACATCAAGAAGATGAAAATTCTCACCACTGTACCAGTAAGCAGTATCATGATAAATGAAGAAAAGGTTAAAATTTATCAGTGACTTCATCTCACTTGGATTCAAAGTTAGCACCCTTGGTGCCAGCAGTCAGAAGATCAGAGACAGCCCATTGAGCAAGTCCACTGTCAGGTACATCTCCAAAGTACTGAGGATCAGTGATGATTTTGAAGACTAAGATGCATCTGATTCAAGGCCATCATCTTTTCAATACCTTGCTATGTCTCTGAGAGCTGGACAGTGAATGAATAAGAATGACAGAAGAATTGATGCTTTTGGATTGTGGTGTTGGAGAAGAGTGCTGAATAACCCAGTAAAAGAACAAACATGTTTTGGGAAAAGTACAGCCACAGTACTCCTTGGAAACGAGGATGCCAAAGCTTTGCCTCACATGCTTTGCAGGTGCCACTAAGAGAGGCTATTCCTCATGAAGGGACATAGTACTTGGATGCAGTAAAAGAGGGGAAGACCCTCAGTGAGATAGGATGACACAGTGTCTGCAGCAGTGGGCTCAGGTGTGTCAGCGATGATGAAGATGGCTCAGGATAGGACAAGGTAGGATTACTGTGAGTTGTACTTGCCTTGACAGTACATAAGAACAGCTGTTTGTAAGTTGCTTACAATGTTATTTGAAAATAATTTCCTGTGTAGTTGTTAAGTGAGGTTGAGTGAGAACTGACCCATTGCTGACCCTCCAGCATGTTTCCACACACTGTAAATTGCCCACCATTCACCCTTGGAGCAGTTGGTAGATTTGAACTGCAGCCTTTGAGATTGCAGCACATTGTATGTAAAGTACCACTGTACCACCGGAGCTTCCTATCTTGTATGGTAGATTGTATATTCCAGATGTGGTTTTTATCACCAGAAGACTCTTTATTGCGGCCATATTTTATAGCTCCGGTGGTGTAATAGCTAAGCACCCAACTACTAACAAGAAGTTCTGTGGTTTGAACCCCCAGAGTTCTGTAGGATAAAAGATTAGTAATCTACTCCCTTTAAAAATGACGGCCTAGGGAACTGCAGGACAGTTGTACTCTCTCCTTTACGGCATTTGACTTGACACACAAAAGAAAAATCACAGCTAGTATTTAACAGTGAAATAATACCAAGTTTCTACTAGAGGTTAACAGGTATTCAGTATAGACCAGTCCATTAAAAATGTTCATTTTAGTTGAGGATATAAGGACATACCTCTGATTTTATGGGTGTGTATTTTGTGATTAGATTTTACTTTATTGCCTTGATTTTTATGTGCCATTAAGCATTAGCTAATTGCTCAAAGCCACCTCTAGTATACTTGCAAATGATATAGTTCATAATAAGTGTTTGACTTGGAATACTTTTTACATTTTTTTGTATTTTTATTTTCTAGATTCCACAGAGAGTTTACACAAGGAGTAAAACCTGACTGGACCATCTCCCGGATCGAACACTCCAAATTATTAGAATAGTGACTCTTAGAAAAATTAGCTTATAGACTTTTAGCAGTCATTATGAAAACTAAGGAAGAAAATTTTTTTTTTTATCATTTGATCTTTGCTTTATCAAGTGTGAGGATTAACTTTTGTATCATTTTGGAATACTCTTTGCGGTATGCCGACGTGATAGAATAAAGCATTTTCTCCGATTGTGATCACCTTGTTTTGAAAGTGCTCTAAGAACAGAAAGCTAACACAGCAACCACATGTTATTGACATCTTTCTCTGTATCATTTACAGTGTTAAGTATATAAGGACATATACACAAATTGTAACTATAGCTATAATCAGGTGTTTAAAAATTTATACTTTTTCTAAATTAATTTTTCTTAAGTATTTATGGCCAATACATTTATACTATTAATCCAAGTATATATAAAGGTTTATTTTATAAAAAATTACTGTTGCTCTTTTGTTCTGTCTGATCACTAGTTGTGATGGAATGGATGTAAGAAGAGAAGAGAACTTCTTCAATCTGAATAAGGAAAGACTTTCTGTAAAATCTACAGCTTAATCATACTTGATCATACCTGGTGAACAAAGCGAAAATGTTTGCTCCAACTCTTTGCATTTACCATTGACTCAATATCCTACTTAGTACAATAAAGCCAGATTAAAAAAATGCATAATTAAAAGGGAGTTATAACACTTCTTTTTCTCAGAGGGCATATATAATCCTGTTGAATCTAACAAAAAGCTATTAATAAATGAATGTAGCAAGTTCACAGGATATAAGGTTAATATAAAAAGAAATTGTGTTTTAATATTTCAACTATAAGTAAAATGTGAAATTGAAAAATACCATTTGCAATATCAGAAATAAGACGTATTTTAGGAAATGTGTAATAAAATATGTTTTAACATCTCTATATACATTGAAAACTGAAATACTGCTGCGAGAGAAACTAAGTAGATGGATAGGCATGCTCATGTATTGGAAGACGTGTGATTTAGATGTCTTTGCTCAACACATTTATCTGTGTTGGGTGTTGTCATGTTGACAGCCAAGTTCTGGCGGCTGGTCGACTGCAGAGTGAAGCCTGCCCAGGCCTGTACTGTCAGTTACTGGCTTGGTGCAGTTACATCACTGTAATGACTTAATGGTTGCACTGTTGTGATCCATGGGACTTCTACTAGCTGCTTTGCAGAAGTAGAGTGGCAGGCCTTTCCCCCAATAAGTCTTATTCTAGATGCTCTGCTAAAACTTTTTCATTGTCATACATCCAAATCCTAGAAACTGGTGACTTTGTTACCTTATATGGCAAAAGGAACTTTGAAGATATGAGTATCTTATATTACCAGAATAAGCCCACTGTAATCACAACAGTCCTGAAGTAGATCAGGGTTGAAAGGAATTGTGCTGATAAATACAATGAGTGATGTGAAGCACCTTCAAGAATGAGGACGGCGTCTAGAAGCTAGAAAAGTCAGGCCCTTTCCCTAGAACCTCTAGAAGGACTGGATCTCCGTTGCCTCATTTTGGAGCTCTTTTCTCTGAAATTGAAGGATAATAAATCTGTTGTTTTGTGGCAGTTAAGTTTGTTGTAACTGATCACAGCGTCAAAAGAGGCTAATGTACAAGATGATGGGAACCATTTGTTACATATGTCCTCTCTCCCAGCGCCATCAGGTTGGACCTGAATCATAGCTGACCCGTTGAATTTCCGAGGCTGTAAATCACACAGAAAAAGATTGCCCATCATTCTTACTGGGAACTGTTAAGCAATTCAAACCACCAGAAAGGCCTGGCTTTTGAGTTAACAGCCCAACTTAATGTGGGCTATGCCACCAGAGCTCCCTATTTATTATATAAGGGTTTGCTGAATGAGTCTGTAGCTAGCTATTGGCATTGCTTAATCAAATTAGCTCATCACCTTATTTTTCTTGTATATCATTGAGTTGACTCTCCAGCAGGCTTTCAGAGGCAGTTGATTACACAAAAAGAGATGGCCCATCTTTTTCATGGAACAGCTGGTAGGTTTGAACCCCATACCTTTGCCTTGGTAGCAAAAGTCCTTATCACTAGTTCACTGGAGCTTTTTTTAGATGTCAGTATAAACTTGTTGTTGTAATATGCCATCGAGTTGCCCACAACTCATAGTGACCATATGTATCCTGTCCTGAACCATGCCCTGTCTTGAGCCAGTCTCAAACTTAACCTCATTGCCCCAGATACCGTGCCCATCCATCTCATCTGGGGTCTTCCTTTCCTGTGTCATCCCTCCACTCTCTGAGGCATGATGTCCTTCTCCAAGGACTGGTCCCTTCTGGCCACATGCCCAGTATGTGAAACAGAGCTTCAAAATCTTTACCTCCAAGGAGTAGCCTAGCAGGACAGACCTGTTTGTTCTCTGGAGAGTACATGGTATATTCACGACACTTCTCCAGCACCACAACTCAAAGGCATCGATGATTCTTCTGTCCTCCTTAGTAATTTTTCAGCTTTCTGATACATAGCAAGTAATTGCAAAGACCATGACTTGGATCAGGCGCACCTTAGTCTCTTAGACTAACATCATTGCTCTTCAGCACTTTGGAGAGGTCCATGGCAGCAAACTTCCCCAGTGCAATTCGTCTTTTGATTTCCTGAGTGCTGGTGCCCAGAGTGTTGATTGTAGATCCGAGCAAGCTGAAATTGTTAACAACTTTAGTCTCTTTTCCATCTGCCATGATGCTGCCAATTGGCCCAGTGGTGAGAATCTTTGTTTTCTTGATGTTGAGCTTCAATCCATATTAAAAGCTGCAGTCCTTGACTTTCTGCATCAAGTGCCTCAGGTCCTCCTCAGTTTCAGCAAGCGAAGTTGGGTGATCTGCATAACTGAGGTTGTTGATGAGTCTTCCATCAATTCTGCTCCCACATTCCTCATAAATTCCAGCCTCCCAGATGATCAGTTCCATGTAGACATTGAAAAGGTATAGAGATAGGATTTATCCTTGGCATACACCTTTCCTGATTTTGAACCATGTAGTGTTTCTTTGCTCTGTTCTGAGGACTATCTTCTGGTTCAAGTATAGCTTTCTTGTAAGCACAATCAAGTGTTCTGGCATTGCTGTTCTCAGAGTTGCTCTTACACTACTATAAATGTTACTAATTCTAAATACCACATGGTGGAGCTAATTGTTTACAGATTTGAAATACCCTATTGACAGTAAGCTAGATAAAGTCTGAAGAAGAAATGGAGATTTTTATGTTTCTTTTTTTACTTTTAAATCATCAGTTTAAATTTTTTATATATTTTTATTTTCTTTTTCTTGATTTTTATAGTTGGAGTATATTATTAAATACTATGGGTATAAACAATCTGCGTATTGCGGATAACACAACCCTGCTTGCTGAAACTGAGGAGGACCTGAAGC